GATCTCATACTCTGTAGCAGAGGTCCTTGGGAGAAAAAGCGGTGGGAACAATTTGCAATTTTTCCTTCCGGCTTCCCTGTTGGCTTTGCTTGTGCAAAGTGTGAGCAAGTTGCCAAACCCCTGGATTGCGACTGAATGACTGCAATTTATTTATTTATTATTTATTTATTTTTATTTATGACACTTATATACCGCTTTAAGTGCAAGCACTCTCTAAGCGGTGTACACCTGTAAGCAATGTATATATATATTTACATTGCCCCCAACAATCTGGGTCCTCATTTTACCTACCCCGGAAGGATGGAAGGCTGAGTCAACCTTGAGCCGGTGAGATTTGAACCGCTGACCTGCTGAACACAGTCAGCTAAAGTGGCCTGCAGTACTGCACTCTAACTGCTGCGCCACCTCGGCTCAATTTAAAATTGGGTTTCATCACATAATGATTTGCTTAATGATTGCTTTGCTTAGTGATCAAAATCCCAGTTCCATTTGTGCTTGTAAGTTGAGGACTACCTATATCTTAGAACAGGGGTAGGCAACTTTGGCTCTTTTATGACTCGTGGACTTCAATTCCCAGAATTCCTGGAGCGTCAAGGACCTCTTGTAAGTGCTACTCGTTCAATGGTGTCACAACTCTGAATGGTTAACAAGTATTACCTGTAATGCAATTTGTAACATAGCTATTGCTGTTTAACACCAAGGATTCACTCCGTGTGAGAACCTAAGCCACAGAGTAAGGGCTTAGGTTAAAGAATAAGTTTTTCTTCTTAACATTTTCAAGTAATTTTGTATAAATTATTAAGAAACTATTAGTAAGTTTTTAGTGCCTTATGGATTAAAAACATCATTCTCAGTACTAATTCACATGGATAAGTGATAACAAAAGCTACATCTAGATATTGTTGGTACATAAATGCAAAAAGACAATGTTACATCTTGGTATTGACTCAAATCAATAATTACTATCATATTTGTTAAAATATATTCGTTACTATAACTATATATTTAGGTTTTTGCTTTTTTTGCTCAAATTCGTCTCCCGTAATTCCTACAGATTCCTGCATTAGGGTTCTATTCAATGTATAGTAAAGCTTAGTAAGAATGCTGTCTGCAATAAAGCAGGGAATAAACTATTTTGTCACAAATCTGTCACATGCTTGAGATTTATTACATTAATTACATGAAAATATGGACTCCTTATGTAGGAAAAGGTCTAAAGCCATACTAAACAGAAAAAGATATTTTTTGAAGGCTTAAAAAAACATTGCTTTTTAGATGTGGAGTAAAGTATTTTATTAGCAAGGGTAACAAAAGCCCTTCATTTTCCATTATTCACTAACTGATAAACTAAACATCACATCTCTTGTTCTCCTTACAAATGAGTAACACTTTGCAAATGCATTAATCAAAATGAGTCAGGTGATATTCTCTCTTGGATTATAAAATAAACTTGACTAATTATTTGCCACTGACAGCTGTTCATGGGTTTCTGCTCAGAAAAACCTGTTCAGCAGTTTTGAACCAGGTCATTTAAAACAGTGCTTTTTGTCTTTCTGCATATAAAATTTGTAAAGGCTACATAAAAAATATATGGATATTTTCACACTCACTGAAATAGGTGGTACAGTAATAAATACAATATATATATATAATGATTGTGTGTGTGTGTGTGTGTGTGTCTGTGTGTGTATATATTCAAATCATACTAAATGAAAAATCAAAATGATAATCAACATTGAAACTGTATTTACATATGCATTTTCAACCCAAATAACATTTTACAGCTAGAGTTTTAGAAATTGGTGAGATTATAATTAAACAAATGTAATTTGACTGAAAATTTCTGTTACAGGCTAACTTGGGAAAGGTTTTCCTAAACATTTTTTGCAGTTTTATTAAACAAAAAAATTTCAAAACCAAATCTCTATTGAAAATTGGATTACAGCAAACAAATGTATTCATATCCATTACCAATAGATAATAAGTATTTATAGGGCATGATAGCATTGGCACTGGAGGTGTAAATTTAAAATTGGGTTTCATCACATAATGATTTGCTTAATGATTGCATTGCTTAGTGATCAAAATTCCAGTTCCATTTGTGGTCGTAAGTTGAGGACTACCTATATCTTAGAACAGGGGTAGGCAACCTTGGCTCTTTTATGACTTGTGGACTTCAACTCCTAGAATTTCTGAGCCAGCATGGCTCAGCTTGGAAACTTCTCCCTTTTCCCTCAGCATGGCTGGCTCAGGAATTCTGGGAGTTGAAGTCCATGAATCATAAAAGAGCCAAGGTTGCCTATCTGTCTTAGAAAATAGCTTTATTTTTTAATATAATTTTAAAAATTTCTTTGGGGTTTAGTTATTTATTATTACTTATCCCAAAAGTGTTTTTTCACAAGACAACTGGACTTTGTTTTTTCCTTGAAGACATTTTGCTTCTCATCCAAGAAGCTTCCTCAACTGAAGCAGCTTCTTAGATGAGAAGTGAAATGTCTTCAAGGAAAAAACAAAGTCCAATTGTCTTTTGAAAAAATACTTTTGGGACAACCATGACATGGATGACTGAGAATCTTCATAGACATTTATTATTACGTTAAATTTATGTGCTGCCTATTTTGCTACTTTAAGGCAGCTTAAAAAGGAAGAAATGAAGCGTATAAACCTAAGTAAAATAATAGTACAATAAAATAAACAGTGAAACAGAACATGAGAATACATCAACATGGTAACAAAAAGATGGATGGGTGGAGAGTAGGGAACAGGGAGAGGAATCTGCCATCAATTCAGCAACTACCTCCAGCATCGTATTCCCTCATCTGTTCTCCAGGCCAACCAGAACCAGATCTTCAGGCTCTTAAGGAAGGATAGGAGGATGGGCACAGATCTTACTTTTAGAGCAGACATGTCAAACACAAGGCCTGGGGCCGGATGCGGCCCGCGAAGTGGTTTCATGTGGCCCACAAAGCAATCCTGGAAACAGTGAGGGCCCCCTCTGCCTTGGCCAGCTGGGAGCCAATGTACAATTTTGTGGTGGCCATCTATGCTGAAACGTATAGTTCCATAAGCCCCCCCGCATGGCCTGAGAGGAACAGCGAGGCTCCTCCAGTGGACCATGCCTTGGCACTTGCCCTGGTGCCACCCCCTTCTGCCAGAGACCCTCAGATCTATCCCACTCCTGCCCGGGCCCCCACAGACATCCTTGATGCGAACGATGTAGAGATGGCCACGCCCACCCAGTAGGCCACACCCACTCCATCCATGCCCACCCAATAGGCTGCACCCACCCTGGCCACACCCACCCGCCCCCCTGAGGGCAACCGCAATGCTGATGTGGCCCTCAATGAAATTGAGTTTGACACCCCTGCCTTAGAGGGTAAGATGTTCCAAAAGGCTTTAGTTTAGACATGAATATTTGGAAACATTTTATTGATCTCAGTGAAACTTTTAATTATGTAAGGAAAAATATATTTACAAGATATATGTAATCAATTTGAAAGAAAACCTAAAAATATTAAGGAAACATACCATGTTTTCCCAAAAATAAGACCTATCCCGAAAATAAACCCTAGCTTTATTTTTATGTGTGAGCCTAATATAAGTCCTAAAATAAACCGTATTTAAGAGCTTGCACAGCTGCTCCCCCGCCCATTCCGTCTGGTTATTCGCGGTGCCTCTGCGAGGTTAGGCAAAGCAGGTGAAGGAGGGGGTGGAACTGTCCCACACCTGCTTACTTCAGGGCCCCACAGCCAAGCCTGCCACCTTTCTTGCCTCGCAGTGGTAGCACTGACAGCCTTGTCTAGCAGGAGCCTGCGTGACCACTACTAGCCCACTTCTTCTGTGGCTGCTCACTACTGCTTGCGCTCGTTGCCTTTAGCCTCCATTTCACCAGCAGAGGCCTTCAGGAAGGGCCTCCACAGCCAAGAATGGAGCCCCAGGTTGACTGACACATCGCCCCCCCCCAGCCAGGTTGACACACGTGAGCAGCGGAGAATGGCCACAGAAGAAGTGGGCTGGCGTCAGCCACATGGGCTCTCTCTGGATGGGGCTGTCAATGCCGCCACCACTGGAAGGCCTCTGCTGGCTAAATGGAGGCCGGGGGCAATGCGTGCGTCAACCTGGGGCTCTGTTCTTGGCTGCAGAGGCCTTTCCCGAAAACCTCTGCCAGCGAAACGGAGGCTGGGGGCAATGTGTGCAAGCAGCAGCTGCAGAAGAAGTGGGACGACGATGGTCACATGGGTTCCTGCTGGAAAGGGCTGTTGGTGCCACTGCTGTGAGGCAAGACAATGGAAAAAATAAGACATCCCCTGAAAATAATGCCAAATGCCTCTTTTGGAGACAAAAAAAATAAAAATAAGACCAGGTCTCATTTTTGGGAAAACACGTTATCAATAAACTATAAACAATATTCTGAAGACACTAAATTAGTTATGAACACAATATTCAGATTTAATAGAAGTCATCATATAACAATAGTTTGTTACCAATTATGATTTTGTTATATTAAGGATATAATATTTGAAACTAATAAAGAATTTGTAATAACTAGATTACAATGACCCAAAATGAAAAAGCAAAAATGAAAAGAGTAGGCTCCTGACATCATTATATTTGATGACTTTCATGTACTTCATATAATTTAGGTAAATAACAGAATCAGTAAATAGAATTAGAATGTTTACAAAATGGAACCATTTATTGCAGGAATATTTTAATCAAATTGTAACATTGGATAAGTTGCAGCTTTAAATTATATTAATTTATTTAACTGGCATTTATGTCCTTAATAATTCAATAATGATGATTTGATTTTTTTGCATCATCATTATGAATTTTATCCAAACTGATTTAACTTTATTAAGTTGAAAAGGAAAATAATAAGAAAAAATATTCCATACATTCTATGAAACCTGAAAACTGCTATAGGACAACCAATGAATCCCAAAAAGTTAATCTCTGATTATTAGATTATTTAAAGATGTTCTGTATTTAAACCATACCTTATATACCGAACTTCCTCCAACTATCCAAACCTTGTCTACCTTTCTTTTCATCTCTGGTGTTTCAAGATGATCTAGGGCTTCTTCCAGACTTTTAGCCAAGTAATGGGCCCCTTCAGGAACATCCCTTAAAGCATAAACATATTACCAATGAAAATCCAAGAACATTGGGGGGATAGATGTATAGCAGAGTAAGTAGTTGGACTTACTGTGAAGTATCTTTCTGGCTACCAATAGATAAACCTATCAGAAAAAGATTAAGGGCAAAACTCAAACTTTATTATGTTCCATGGAGGAAACCTCTCCTTTCAGATGCTTGCACTGTATTAATTTACTTGACTGCATTTATGTCTTTTACAATTCAATATTGATGATTTGATTTTTTTGCATCATCATTATGAATTTCATCCAAACTGATTTAACTTTTATTAAGTTGAAAAGGAAGATAATGAAAAACATTCCATACATTCTATGAAACCTGAGAACTCTTATAAGATAACTAATGAATCCCAAAAAGTTATTCTCTGATTATTACATTATTAAATAGGTGAATGGAGAACGAACCTTCACCCTCATCCTACACCCAAGCTTGCCGCTATTGCAAAAGAGAAAAAACATCAGGATAAGGCTTTGTTATTGTGCTACCTAACAAGAGAGAGGACAGAGGCAGGAGTTGCAGCTCTCTTTTTGATGTTTTGGCAGTTGTTTTGATCTCTTTCAATGCACAACAAGCATTAATTCAGATAAAATAGTGGGGCTCTCATAAACAAAGGCAGCTGCTTCATGTTGTTATACTGACTCAGATAGCATATAACCAAGGCTCCTTCATGAGGCAATGGAGCCTCATCAAATATCCAGCAGGATCTGATGGCTAATAGACTATCTACTGCCTTCTTCACTACATTTAGAATTACATGTGGAGCTGGCTACCAGTCAGGTTGGCCTGGAAAAAGAGTTGGACCAATTCATAGAAGTCATGAGAATCAATATCTATGATGGCAGTAAGATTGCTTCTGAAGGCTATTTCTTGGGACAATAGAGGCTTTCTTGTACAGTTTGTGGGCACTGTGTGAACAGATTGCTAGACTACATGGGCCAAGAGGATGATCTAGTAGGACATTTCTTATGTTCTTAAATAAAAGATATTCAAATCAGCCAAATATGAATTAAGAACAACATATGGAAGTGTTGCCTATTTTTTAAAAAAACAGTGGAACTGTGGATACTTTACAAATTATCTTGACATGAGTAATATAAAAAGCAGCTTTTAGAAATAATTGATTATTGAATGCACAGTCTGTTCTTGAGAAAGAAGAATTGGCTATCTCTTATTTTTATTTCCAACATTACATAGAAGGGTTTTGGTCTTCTTTGGTAAATTTATATATTTATTTATTCTTATTTATATAACCATTCATTTCACATACATTTTCTAGACAGCTTTCAATAAAAGAGAAAATGCATCCAATTAAAAAAAAACACATAGTAGCCAAGCATAAAAAAAACAACTCTTACTAAAGTTTGCTTTATGGAAATTTTCTTCTTTTTTGCTTCTCAGATGGGCTTCATATATCTGTAAGTGCATCTGATTCATGTAAAATTTGTTCTCCTAATGAAACCAACAGAGAGCATACCCACTTTCTGGAATATTCTATTCCAGAGTTCCCCAACCTTTCCAGCTTTATGGACTGGTGGGGGGGGGGGAAGAGAGGGGCTGGTTCTGTGCAAGCAGCCAGCAAGAGCACACTCAGCTCCATTTGTGCAAGTGGGGTGCACGCATGCCCATCATTCACACAAATGGAGCACATGTGCACATGCTTGCCCGCTGCTCAAGCAAGTTGGGAATGTGTGCGAACTCACCTGCCGTTTCTGTGGTCCGGCTGTAAACAGTCTAGAGGTTGGGGATTCATGCTCTACCCTACCCATTCCCTAGATCAGTGGTTCTCAACCTTTTTAATGCTGCGACCCCCAACCGGTCGTAAGTCGAGGACTACTCAACCAGTCGTAAGTCGAGGACTATTCAACTGGTGCAGCACCGTTTGCAGAATGGGACTTTTGGCGGGCTCAGCAGGACAGAGACAGCCTGGACAATTCCTATTGGCTTTTGAAAGCCAATAGAATTAGACTCTATTCAAGAGAGTCTATTCTATTGGCTTCCAAAAGCCAATAGAGTAAAAGGGAGTAGCACAGCTAAGGAAAAGGGGAAAAAAAATGGCAGACTCCATTGTTTGGCGACCCCCGTGAAATGGTCATTCGACCCCAAATGGGGTCCCGACCCAAGGTTGAGAACCACTGCCCTAGATGATTAAGTTTTTGTTCAAATTTAAGTTAGTTAAAATACTGCTCAAGTGTGAAAATCAAGCAGTATTCAATTTTAATGTAATAGAGTTAAAACATTAAAACTTTAAAACAACAGAGTAAAATTAAACAAGCCAGTATAATCCTTCAAAATGCTTGGAAATATACATTATTTAAAATTAGACTGAATATTTTTTAGGTCTAATATGTTGTGTCTTTAGCATGAAATACATGCATTTATCTCAATCACGTATCTGCTTTCAATTTCTACTTGAATTATTGCACTTTGGCAACAGATTTAGAAGTTATAGCAAAGAGGGTGGGCACTTTGATTTGGAATAGCAAGTAACTTAGTCATACAGAAATCATTAAAGAACCTGCTGATATATTAGTGTGGGGTTTCCCCAGATTATATAAACTGTTTTTAAAAATCAAAGACATAATACATGTATTATTTTGGGGGCTAAAAACTAACCTTAATAAAATCTATATGCATTATTAATGCACTAAAATTAACATACATTTACTGGGGATGCTAACTAAAAAAGCAAAGTTCTTTGCAATCTGCTCATAAAATCAAAGATATGTGAAAATGAAATATCCATGAACATCTCACATTAAAATGAAAAGAAATTATTGCTGCTAAACAGCTCTTTGACAGAATGGCTATATGTATTTCTGAACAAGTAAATTATAGTTAATCAAATGTAATTATTACAAAGTTGGTGGTGCTATCATGTTAACATCACTCTCAACAACCAGTTTATTCATTGTAGTTAATTTTCTTAAATGGTTTTTGGAAAAAAAATCAACATTAGTACTTACTTTAGTTCTTTACTAAGTACTACATTAATTCTGTTTTTTAAAGGACGATTTTTCTCAGGGATGGAGAACCAAGTCTTCCTACCCATTATGACCACATTTTGCTTTCCTGTAAAATGCAAATATATTTAATATGATTATGTAGTGACGCCTAGTGGATATAGAGTGCTATTTTTAGTCAACCTATTTCAAGCAATATTGTTACACTTCTCAAAACTTGTAAAGCTCTTAATATCAGTGGCTCACTGCTAGCTCAGCTAGAGAAGAAAATAAAATTTGAATGGCCTTTGATGAAGGATGATTTCCATTTTTTTTTTTAAAAAAAAGGATCTTAGTTTTTCATTTCTTCTGTGTTTCCTGATAGACAGCACAAAACATTAGGAGATTTGGATTGCAAATATATCAAGAAAATGTAAAGTTCTGTATGAAATAGTCATTTTATGGCTATTCCTGGCCAATTGTTGGATTTTACATTTTTTATTGATTTTGTTATGACACTATGGTGTTCTTTGTTGTGGGGATTGTTTCCTATTGTTTCTATTGTTTTTTATTGCTGCCACAAAATCCTTCCCTGATTTGAAAATTATTTTGTTGTAAAATGGTGGAAGAGACATGTCCTTCCTCCAGTCTCTCCCAACCTTCTTTCTTTTCTGATGCATCCCAGTCCCAGAAATCTTTCTCTTCTGTTCCTTCTCTCCAGAATATAAATTGGGGCAAGTCTCTAATATCCTATTATCACATGGACTGATGAATTGATCCTTACACTAATAGGGATAGAAATGGACACACATTGCACTTAGTTGTGCAGTCCCTAGTTGAAAGACCTATATGAGAGCTACAGTAGGTGTTCCCTTATTCTCTAAGTCATTTTAAATCATTTTAAATAAATCATTCAACTAAACATTTGGAATTATGCTAACATATTTTGAAGGTTATAGTAAGGAACGACTAAGATGAAAATACAAAATGTTAAGACTGTAAATTATATTACTATGCAAAATAAATATGACATTGTTTTCTTAGTTTATTAAGGCTTTGCCACTGATTTCAGCTGAACTAAGAATGTATTTCCACAACATATAAAACATTATTCCCATTCAGCAGCCTTTGGACTTGATATAATCAATAATGTGCTTGGATCCTCAAAGCAGATTTGAGAATGTTTTGATGCAGTTTCTTTCTAAATCAGGAGTGGAGAACTATGGCCCTTTTATGACTTGTGAATTTCCAGAATTCCTGAGCCAGTTGAAGTCCACAAGTCATAAAAGGTCCATCTGCAATGACAGCCATCACCCAATCCAGGAAAAATTAGCCACTATTACCTTCTTCTTTAGTTGTCATTGTCATTTTCTGAAAATGCTTATACTCATTCCTGTAGAAAAACAAAAACACATTTTGTGATGATGTAATCTTCACGAGTACTCTCTATTATTACTCCCAAGATCTGGAAACTTAATTAAAGTAAGTTAATTGATTAAAGTTAATCAACAAACACCCTCACACACATACACCCCAGTCCAATGGAATGTTGAAATCTAAAGTCCTTTAATGTTCTTCGGTTCTGCTCTTATGTCAAGGTATCAAACCACTAAGGAATTCTTATACAGTTAATTCACACAGACCGATTTTAATTTTTACAACTATCTCTACATTGCAATTCTCTTTTTTACAATGTTCAGTTCTACTCCTTCAAACAATATATCCCGAGGGACAACATAGAACACACACGCGCGCGCGTGTGCGCGCGTGCTCCCAGTGCCCTTTATTCCACTTGCTGCATCCTGTAAGTTTGTTGTCCTAAAGGTCACTGATCTGCTGAAATATTATTTAACCCTGGGCGATTTCTGTCTGAGGGTGGGCGGGGAGACATTTTACCCCTTACTTCAAGCTTTTGCCCAGTATTGGAGTATCGAACTTTGAAAAGAAAGAGGATTTCAAAGCGCTTTCTAATTATTCGGTTGGCGGCAAAATAATGCTGTTCCTTGAAAACCGCTTAGATAAAAAGGGCCATTATGTCCCATATACCTAGCTTAGCGTAGTATTGGTTAGGGACTGGCAGAGGGAAAATGAATTCAACAATAAACTACTGTTAGAGTTCACTAAAGAAAAACTTGCGCTATCTACTAAAAAATCTGCTACCTCTAGATAAAAAACAAAAAAAACCCCGTATGATCGTATTAACTACAACCCCCAAGCTACACACTCCCATTCAGAGAGATCATTCAATGCAACTTCCAATGCAAGGCAAGCAATGCATGCTGGGAATTGTGGTTTTTTTCTTCGAGGTAAAGCGCGGGATAAAAGAAAAGAAGCAGGACTGTACCTGAGCGGAGGCCAAGGAAGCTTCCCGTCTTTTCCAATGCCCATGTTCTTGCACACAGCAACGATCGAATACAGAGACGCTACCATCGCTCTTTTTTCGCCGCAGCAACTCTGTACCGGTTAGTCCCCTTCCTCGCCAGACTTCTGAGCAAGGGAACCTGCGGAGCATGCGCAGAGAGACGCGCCTCCCGCGGAAAGAGAGCGGGTGGTCTTGGCAGCCATGACGGTGAGGTCGGTTTCGCTGACCGGCAAAGTCGGGGCGCTTCTGTGACCTAACGCCCGCGCCTCGTCCATTGCGGGAAGAAAGAGCCCGGGAAGCCGCAGGCCTACGAGTTCCCTCGGCGAACTGCTCGTCTCGTCTCAAGCAGCTCATCGCAGGCGGTGCCTACTTTCCTAATAGTTCTGCTCTTGCACGGAGTCTGCGATGCTGCCTAGGCGAAGAAGGAGGCGGCCTAACCCCGGTGACGGGTCTCGGGACCAGCCCGTATTAAGTAAATTCTTCCCGCCGGTGGCATCGTTGCAACGCAGCAGCTCCGCTGAGGAGGTGAAAAAGGAAAAGCCTGACGCCTCTGCTCAGCATACGGTGCGCCCCGGATTGTGGTGAAGGCTGCGGGGCGAGGCTGGGTGGTCGTTCAACTCCTGTAACGAGCAAGACCTTCTGGCTATTTTGTGGCCCTCTTAATGCAGCGTGATTAGGTTGGGTAATTGCGGCTGTAATTCTCTGCTCCCCCTCCCCCCCCCCGGTTCTAGCCTTAAGAACTGAGAAAATCCGCTGAGCCTGGCAGGATTGACCTCTCAAATGGTTATTAAAAGCAACCGCTGTAATAGTTGCAGAACTGCTAATCCTACTTGGAAAGCTTTTTCTTCAAAAAGCTAAATGTCTCTCTCTTTTTTTTAATATTAACTTTTGGACCTTTGCATTCTATTAGAATTCAAGAGCACCCAACAAAATTATTTTGGCCACAGCTTGATGATAAATGGAGTCAGACCAGTTGAAATATACTGAAATTTCATTATGGTAGTTAAAAAAATACCTCAAAGCAGGAGTATTAAGGGAAAACTCTGGGCCCCAAAGAAAACCACTCAGTAGAGCTAGTGATTAATAAGCACACTGCTTGCTTCCTCCCCATCACAGTCGCAGTGGGCTTAGGACACCCAAAATCTCACGTTCAGTCATTCACAGTATCCCCAAATCTCTTCTGCTCTTGTCTCATGTTAGGAGAAAATGTTCTCTTTTTCATTCAGAATATAGTTAGCTATGTGCACTGTACTTGTAGCTCCTCTTTCATGTTAGCAGCCTCCTGGGAGTCTCAGGTATAACATATTTAAGCTGAAAAAAACTGGATAAGCACTAGGATAGCAGTTTTCATATTTTTCCTTACTGCAATTTTGTTAAGAGTCAGAAACCGAGCTATAATATCCCTACTGTATTTAATTTGGCTTGTTAAACATGGAAATAAATAGCTAGGCAAGTCTAGCAGTCTCTCAAGGCAATTGCCTCTGTTGAGTGTTGCTGAATATTGCTTGTTAGAGTAAAGAGAGAGAGGACACATATTCTCCAGCCATTAAGTTAGTGCATTTTTCTAAGAAATTGATTCAAACAGATTATGTATATGTATGTTCTTGTAAAAAATATATGATATACTAAGAAAGAGTGAACAGTTTCATTGGGTTACTTTATGAATTTAATGTTTTGATATAACACAGATGTAATATATTATTCCAGAAAATGCAGATTCATCTTAGCCTGACTTGGTGAATTTGATCACAGCATCATTTTTGTATTTATAAGATGGAGAAAGTTGGTACTGTCTCAGATTTAAGTAAGAAAAAGTTCAGTTATTATTGAATTAAGTTTAAAGTAAGTGCATTTGAAATCATTGTGACAAATTGAACTACTCTTCACACATTCAAAATGTTGTAGTTATAAATTTCATTCATAAATAAAGGAATAAAATGAAAAATATAATGTAAGTTTTCTCAGTATGGTTGGACAGCTAAATTAACCTAGAATGCTGGTTCAAATCCTGCAGTTCCTTTTCCTTTCGTATGAGAGAAAACGTATAAACCTCAACATCCTCTTCACAACCTGTTTTCCTTGTTACTTTCTGGGAGGAGGCTTCATGGTATCCGAAACAGAATATTCAGATTCAGTTACAGTTTTGTTCCATATAGTATTAAATCTTGTGAATTCTCAAACTTTCTCTTTCTGCTATATATTCAAGATGGATAGTAATTAATATTTATATGTATTTATATGTAAGGATGTGGGTATATACATATGTTGTATATAGCATGTTTATATGTGTGTTATGTATGTGTACACTTTTGAGAGCAAGCAACAGAATTTCATTTTTAATGTGTGCCAGTGTGCCCATAGGTTTATGGTTGTAATGATAGATCAAAAGCAAGGATAATTAATTTCAGTAAGCCTCAGTTTTGATTTTTTCTTTTGGCTTTTAATTGAATACAAAATAAACTATTTCACAGTACAAATATATTAAAACTTCTTTATTTAGGCTATTGAACCAGATAGGAAAAAGAAAAAACTGGTAAATAAAGAATATAATGACAACTCTTCAAAATCTCTACAGTGTAGAAAAGAAGAGAGTAATTCAGTGGATATGCAGAAAACAGGTAAGTTCTAAATATTGTAATTTCTTTTCTTTCTTTCCAGGAGTTGTCCCAAAATTTTGAAAATACTCTGTAACTGCGACTTTTGTGGTCACCTAGAACAGGGCTTTTCAACCTTTTCACCCATTGTACCACTTTTCGGATAAGGCCATATCTGAGTACCACCACTCGCCCACAAGGTATCAAAAACTTGACCCAAAAAAAAGAGGAAAAAATGAGAAAGTACAGATAGTCCTCGACTTACAACAATACGCTTAGTGACTGTTTGAAGTTACAATAGCACTGAAAAAAGTGAATTATGATTTTTCACACTTATGATTGTTGCAGCACCCCCAGGGTCATGTGATTTACATTCGGATGCTTGGCAACTGATTCATACTTATGACATTCACAGTGTCCCAGGGTCATGTGATCAATGGCCAATGATCAGTGGTCAGCTGATCACTCAGGTTACAGGGTGCCTGGGGGGGGGGAATCCGTGGGTCTCTGGGATGGGACTGGGGTGGGTGCCTGCCTTCCTTCCCTCCCTTCTCTCCCATTGTCCCTTCCTTCTTTCATTCCTTCCCTTCACCTCCCTCTTAGTCTCTTCCTCCTTCCCTCCCTCTTTCCCATTGTCTCTTCCTTCTTTCCTTCTTTTCCTTCACCTTCCTCTTAGTCTCTTCCTCCTTCCCTCCCTCTTTCCCATTGTCCCTTCCTTCTTTCCTTCCTTTCCCTCACCTCCCTCTTAATCTCTTCTTCCTTCCCTCCCTCTCTCCCATTGTCCCTTTCTTCTTTCCTTCCTTTCCTTCACCTCCCTCTTTGTCCCTCCTTCCCTCCCTCTTTCCCATTGCCCTTTTCTTACTTCTTTCCTTCCTTTCCACCTCCCTCTTTGTCCCTCCTTCCCTCACTCTCTCCCCTTGTTCGTTCCTTCCTTCCTTCCTTCCTTCCTTCCTTCCTTCCTTCCTTCCTTCCTTCCTTCCTTCCTTCCCTTTTTGTCCCTTCCTTCCTTCCTTCCCTCCCTTCCATTGTTCCTTCCTTCCTTCCCTCTCTCATTGTCCCTTACTTTCCTCCCTCTTTGTCCCTTCCTTCCTCCCCCCCCCCGTGCCCAGGAAGGAACAAGGGGAGGGGATAGGCTGCCAGTGTGGCTGGTGGCTGTGCTGCTGGTGACCATGGCGACATGCCAAACCTGCCTGTGCAGAGGCAGAGGAGAGCTCTGCCCAGCTCACTTGTTCATGCTTCGCCAGAAAACATGCCGCTTGCTAAGTTAGCAGAACGCCGGGCTACAGCTGATTCGCGCTTCTGCTAAATTAGCAAGCAGCATATTTTCCAGCAAAGCTCGAGCAAGTTTGCTGGGCAGGAACCCAGGAGAGCAGCTACAGCTGATTTGCGCTTCTGGGCTACTCTGCAGAAGCGTGGATCAGCCCAGATCCTGGGCTCTTGCCCAGCTTGCTTGCGCGAGCGAGCGACAGTGCAGGGGCGTGGAATCGGCATTTCTGAGCACACGCCCATTTGCGCCCCTTCATTCTTCTGAATGAAGAATTTTAGGGGGTGTGGAAAGTGAAACAGACTTAGGGCTGTATTAAGACCATAGATGTAAGGAGAGTGGAAGGGAGACGAATTTGGGGTGGAGCAGAAAACGGGGGGGGGGGAGGCATTAGGAAATAAGTACCAAGGTACATGGTGCCTGGTACATGGTGCCTTGCAAGGGATTCCCGAGTGTTCCGCAATTGTTTTTCCTCTCTCCTCTGCTCGAGAAAAACTTTTGTGGCATAGATCTGAAACCAGGTGAGGTTTCTGTAAGGTGGCACAGGAGGTCCTTGGGAGAGGCAAGGACAAGCTTGGCATTTCCTCTCTCCCAATCCCCCTCCTCTTCTTCACCCCCTCCCCCGGCCTGCCTGTGATCTGAGCTCGTGGCTCCGTGGCTTTTCTTTGCCTAGCCTAGCCAAGCTTTCTTCCGCCCGCCCCAGTCCCGGGAGCGCCGAGGAGGTATGGCAGAAATACGTGAAGGGGAAAAGTGGAGTTCCAGCCAGCAGATGCTTGGCAGCCCAGCTGCCAAGGAACAGGAGAGCTCAAAGCCGAGGAGAAGAAGGTGGCGGTTTCCTCTCAAAGGGGGCTCCTTTTCTCCACCCCTTCCCCTGGGTTTGTGGGGAGTTTCTCGTCTCTGACGCTGACAGGTGCTCCTTCAAGCCTGCTGCAAGCTCTCTCGCCCCCTTTGCTTCTCCCCCCCGCTTTCGTGAGGATTGTGGCACCCTTGGGAAGCTGATCATGCTTTGAACCTTAGGAGAGGAGGAGGAGTTCCTTCCTCCTTCCCTCCCTCTCCTGCAGGCTCAACATGAATGGGCAGGGGGAGGGTCGAGGACAATGTGCGGGGTGGCAAAGGAGACCGCCAGACCTCCCAGCTGACAAGCGCAAGTTTGGGGAGTCGCCAGCTGACAGGCGCAGGAGTTCTGCGCTGCGGCGGCGTCTCCCTTTGCTGACCTGCATGCACGAGAAGAAGTCAATCTGGTTGCTGCACAATGAGTCCCT